TTTTTTCTTTTAAAAAAGATAACTATTTATAATGCTCCCTACGTAATAAAAAATAAATTACAGTAAAAGCAATAAATATTTTGTAGGTTTTGAACCAAATTAAATAACAGTAAACCTTTTTTTTGATTTACGGTATTTTCTTATTTTGATGTTTTGAGCTTTTTTGTGTTTAGAACAATATATACTAATTTTTAAAGTATCAAATTGAATTTTTGTTCAATAAAAATCTTTCAAATGAGACTGTAGCTTTTTTCCCCCAAAAACTTTGTCTTCAAAATAAGGGTGCGTCTTATATTCCGAAAAATACGGTAGGCTTCTTTTTCCACGAAGTTTAAGCTTGGATTTAAAGTTTCACACTAAATTGTTTTATCGGAGTTTCATATGCTAAAATTACGCATTGTAGGTAAGAGCTACTATTAATTTACTTGAAGCTTTTATGGATTACGTTACTGTAAAGTATAGTTCATTGTTCTAAGTCAGTTTAGATAATTTTATCTACTCCTACTGATGAACCTTACTTCAGAAGGAGTGCTGATATTATGAGGAAATACCAATTGTTTTGTAAGCGTTGTTATGAAACATGGCATCTGCTTCTTTCCGCTCCATTTCTTGTCATTTGGTACGTTGGACTGAAAGTCATAAGCCATTTTTCGGTTTAGTTGTCTTAGAATGTTCATGAGTTCAAGCTCTTCCTTCTTGTTTCTGAGACCTTTTTCTATGATAGCACACAAGTTTGTGATGAAGTGGGAACCGTCTACCGTGTTTCTGAACGAGAAGTACCCTGGAACCATAAAGTTATGACCCTCGATAAAGTTGTCAAAGTGAAGGTCAATGAATTTCATTTTGTTGGCAGTTCTATGATAATTTAAAACAACGTTCGTCGTTAGTTTGAGAACTAATACTATATATGTTCCTTTGGTAATCTTTTTTTCTTCACACCTTATGCTACACGTTTGTGTGGGTGGTTTACTGCATTTCTTTTTTGAGAACTAACACTACAAGTTCCGGTGGCTATATATGTTTTACTAAGCCTGTTGTTGAGAAATAATACTACAGTTTCGCATATTTGTGTGCGATAATTGCGTTCCTGCATGTGTACTCGAGGTATCAACCACTAATAGTTAGTGAAAGATGTGAAAAATCAATTAACAAGAACACAGATACGTCTGAAAATTATAAGGATATAAATATATTAGCTGAAAGCTATCTTTTAAAGGACAATAATAATATCCTATATTATTACACATATACTGTAATTAAACACCTTCCTTTATCGTTTTAAATGTGCTTTCACCGTACGACTTAGCCTACAAAAATTGTATAATATTTTTATGATACAGACTTAAAATCGGAAACGTTTTATTTGTGTGAAATTATACTGTAGTACTTTCGTTCTATGTATCTATTTGTGTCTTTGAAGAAATAAGAGTATCTGTTTCTTTTTTTGAAGTTAAGCACAAAGCTACACAATGGGCTATCTGTGCTCTGCCCACCACGGGTATCGAAACCCGGTTTCTAGCGTTGTAAGTCCGCAGACATACAGCTGTGCCATAGAGGAGCAACAATATCTGATGATTTCTTTTAGGTATTGACACTATTTTTTTCTACACAAGGTTTAGTACATTTTTCTAGCTTTTACAACACCAGCAGGTCTTTCTCGAATGCATATTTACTAGTTGAAATAGTGTAAGCCAGTTTAATGAACATGAAAAATAGATAAAAGAAGAGTTTGAATTTCTTAAAAAACATCGAAAAATATTTCTACTGAATTCAAATAACGTGTCTATTCCCTAAGTGCCCCAGTGGCACAGCGGTATGTCTGCGGACTTATAACGCTACAAACCGGGTTTCGATACCCGTAGTGGGCAGAGAACAGATAGCTTATCATATTGCTTTGTGCTTAACTTCAAACAAAAAAAATTATCCCTGGACTTAAACAATTTTCTAACAAAATGTTATTGACGGTATGTATTTCTCTCAAAGTGATTTTAATTCATGTTATTGGTATTATGATGTTATAAGATCAGATTGATAAACATTATTTACCATAGTCTTAATTTTGAAAACAAATGATTTACCTTTTATCTCGTTGTCTGAGCAATAGTAAAAGTTCAACTGGAAGATTAGTAAATTAAGTTAAACGTATCCTTACTTTTAAAGTTTTAAATTTCGTACATATTTCTATAATCTTTTAAACCTCTGATTAAAAAATTAGTGACGTTATGAAAAATCTTTCCTGTGTTGTGATTTAAACGACCGAGTTGGTAAACCAAGAAAACTTTGATGTTTAACAAATATTATTTGTCCAACAGTTAGTACTAATTTTATCCCATTTGCGAGGGATGTCACATTACTAATAATTATAACCAAAACCTAAAGTACAGATATGCTAGAACTCATGAAATGTTATTTGATATATGTCTGATTAGACTATGCCAGATATTTATCGGGAGAACAACACAAAAGAGGAAAAATAACTCCTTTCTAGCTATCTCGAAAACTTTGTCGTTATGAAGAAAAACTGGGAATAAGTTATACAAGTACCAATATTTTCAATAATTCTGTTTTCAGGTTAATAATAGACAGAAATATTATGACGAAAACAATAATCACATTTCCACATGAAGTATGACATTAAAAAAGAGACTCATTAAGCTATTCCAAATTTAGCTCTTTTGTAGTTTATATACTTTTACTGAAAAATTTCAAATTCTTCCAAGATTTCAAATTACATATGCAAACACAACGGACTATCATGATCTCAGCTTTGTCGCTCGGATGCTGCAGGCCACTAAAGTTTTTATAGGAAATTAAAATCACAGTAGTAGCTTTAAATACATGTTTCATAATGCAGATAAATAAAAATACATGTGTATTTTCCTGCTTCAAAAAGAACCCTATAAAAATTGTCAAAGATAAATAATGGCAACGAAAAAACTTCACAGAATGTCGTATTATGGTTACTTACCTGATGCTATAGAAAACACAATGAAATATTTCGAGAAAATATAGTCTTCTTAATATTATAATGTTAGTAGCGCTTAGTGACTAATGCAGTTAAAAGAAGAAAGAAAAACTTTTTGTTTTGTGCTCGAGGTATTCTTCCAAGTTAATGAGCAGTAAAGGTGTAGGGCTATTCGAATTGGTGAATCTATTCCACCTTTCGTTATCTTGTGATGTTATTGGAAATATTTATACAAGCACTTTTAGTTAAGAGATTTTAAAATAGGGCAAATAACTTTATGTGGATTAGTAAATATGTCCTATAATTTGTTTTTTAGGTCACATTGAATAATTACATTTAGCTTACTGCATATTTTCTAAGTTCTCCACAGAACTATTCAACATTCTCGAACTGAAATCAAAGATTATATGTTGACAATAATCTAAACACCTACCAGGATTTTATTATATTTTGTATAATACATTTTAGAGTACTTGTTTCATGGTATAGGACTGACAGCATATTCTTATGTATAGAACAGTGGTGTCTGAGGGCATGCCCCCAAGAAAAATTGGGGCTCTGAGATTGAATTCTGTGCTAATTTTACTATAATTTATTGAAAGTATTAATCATTTGCAAGCACTTCTTCATGATACTGGCACTTGTACTCACCATAGCCATAAGCAAGCACAAGCAGTTACACTTGCAGAATACACATTAATGTATTATGCATTTTATACTGATTCATACATACTACTATAACTCTATGTATTTACCTAGAAACAAGTTTTGAAGCGCATGTTAAAGTTTAAAAAGCCTTACAGTTACTGTGACAAAATGTTGGCCCGGCTGTCACCCGGTCTGCCGCACCTGCTCTGGCGCACTCGTAAAAATACCATTTCGTTCGTGATTAGGTGTGCTTATTAAGAAGTGTACAAAAGGTAGAGAGAAAGCCTAACATATAGCAGACTTAGGCCTAATCATCTGGAAGGATGGAAAGTGCAAAGCATAGCGTCCTTAATTTTTAATGACAGACTAGTAGGAGAGCAGCTAGTAAACGTCACCCACCATCAACTTTTGGTCAACTCTTGCTTCAGAAAATAGTGGGAATTGACCATAAACCTTTTAGCTTACCCACGATCTCAAAGTACGAAGAGCGTTTCTGCAGCAAAGGAACGCAAACCATGAACCCTCGGATTCACGGTTAGCGCCCATTAATACTAAGCCACGCCTGGTCCTATAATTAGCAACGACAAAGCCCAACAGAAAGCAGCATTAGGCATACTTATCAGATTAGTAGATATTGATCAGTCAAAGTAAAAAATAGTGTCCGTTAGGGTGTTTGTTGTTAAAAGCATAGCTACACAATTGGCTATCTGCGATGTATCCACCACAGGAATCGATCTCCAGATTTTTAGCGTTATAAGCCTTTAACCTTACCGCTGAGGCAACGGGGACAAAGTACGACAGAAAACAGTATTTGTTCTATTAGGTTTACTCATTAGAATACGGTAGAAATGACAACGAGAAAAGTCCACAAAAACTAGCATTAAGCCTACTTGCTAAGGGAAGTGTAGAAATAGTAGTTAGAGAGTTTTTTTTAGGCTAACTTACCAGGTACAGTAGAAATAGCAAGAAGGAAATCCGGATTTGTTACCATCGAATGATTGTTGTGATCTGCCATATTATATCCTTTTTTCAGTTTCACACCATTATCCAGCTTTGTTCCTCTACAAGCCTTTATTGGAAATGTGCAAATGCTTTTCAGTAAGGTCTGACGGACGAAATATTCACAAATACAGAGTGTATAATCTTAAGTTACATTGCTAGTAAGAACTGTGTATTTGATACAACTATATTTTGGAACATTTCTGTACTTAATAACAGATTTTTTTTTGATATATATATACTTGTCTGAAATGTTAGCATTTATAAAACTGTGCATAATTTTTATGTACTTTCGAAGATTTTACACTTACAAATACGATAACAATTACATTGAAATTGTCATATTATCAAAATACTTAAACTTCGAGTTAATGTTGCGTTAAAGTATCATATTTTTTCATCGTAACTAATTCTGTTAACTTATCAATGGCATTTGGTTGTATCAATATTACGAAGTTTTAATAAAACACATAGACTTGAAAATCGAGACTAATCTATAGATACTCAGAGTTTAAATTGTTAAAAGTTGAATAGAAAAAACGTACTCCAGATATTACATGAACTCATTAATTATCTCGTTCTTTTAATAATAAGTAATTGTTGATTAAATATTGCATTACCGTCTCGTTTTCGTAATAATGAAACACATTTGAGGGCATGAGAATCTTGTATTCGATGGTGCAAATATCTTATTAAAACAATATATTTCTATTCTTGAACGGTATCAAAACTGAAAAGATAGCACTTGATGTCAAAAAGTTGATCGACGTCTGAAAGCAAGTCAGGAACTGTTGTATTGTCTCACCTGAATGAAGAATAACTTGGGCTTTCCTCGCAGGGTAGGACATACATCATCTTTGAAAGGATCGTACAATCTGTTGTAACTAAAACGCCCTTCGCTACCATAAAGATACTCGTTACCATCAGGCGTGGCACCACCATGCGTTAGAATGCAACATACAAAACAGTCTTCATCTGAATGATCAGCTTGAGCAACTAGAAAGAAAATCAAGCAGGGAACATATAAAATCAACTTTCGTTTACAGGCTCAGTAAACAAAAAGAAATCTGATCTTTCTTATTACTTCGTTAATCTTAATATCCTTTACATTCGTGTTTTTTATTATCGTCTTTAACTTATAAGATACTTATTTTAACGCTGTATTATTTGCACATTATATCATTTTATCGCTTTAGAATACCAAGCGCTTAAGAAAATCCTGAATAACTACTAATGAAAAGCAAGAAAAATCTACCGATATAATATGTGCGTTAATATCTAATTGAGCTCAGTTTGAAATAGATTTTATCCATTTATTATGATTCTTAGATAATATTTGTGTTGAACAAAAACGTAACCCTTAAGTTTTAAGAGAGGTTTTTAATAAAAATAAGTAGTTTGATTGTTGAATCGAACCCTGGATTTTAGTGTTGTAAGTCTGTAAACTTACCGCTGTCCAACTTAGTATACAACTTAGTAAGAATAATAAACAGCGAACAATGAATGTTTAACTAAGTCATACAGTTGTCTCAAAACTTCATATTATAAGGAATAACGTTTATACTAAATTATCTTATAATACAATAAGATCATTTTTTATGATACATTTCACATATAATAATGTGATATTCTTACGTTCAGGTTAAGTACCATGTTTATATTATACCAGATTTTATAGATTAAGCTTTCGATTTTAATAAGTGTAATTATAAATAGTAAGCCATAGCATACATAATAAGTAATAACATTTGATAACTTTTTCATGAAAACGGTGCAATTAAATGGCATACACCAACTTTTTAAGATTGGTCAGATGTCACTGGAAACGAAAATATATATACTTTTTTATTTCTACCTGTCTCCCAGTAAGTCAACAGTAAGGAAGGACTTACAATATTAAAATATGTGATCGATCTCTGTAGTGTACAGAGCACAGTTAGTCTATTGTGTAGTATTGCGCTAAAACAAACAAACAAATAATACGTTTTTCTACTGGCATGAACTACAGATGAATCTTTATGAAAATAAAAATGAATATCAAATCACATCTTCATTATTTAGACTAAACTTTCTATTATTAAAATAGAAAAATAAAAACTTTCAATACCTTTTCTCAATGTATCAAAAATTTCAAATGCCGTGTAATCTTTGAAAACAATAACTTCAAAACTCAAGGCTCCAAAGCATCTCTTCAAGTTTTCTGCATCAACTTCACCCCCATATCTTGGACACAATGATTCAAATTTCTGATCGAAATATTCATAAAAAATATCACAAAATAGTATTCATAAAATTTAAAATGCTTTTGATGAGTAGTTTCTTTATTCATCAGGAGCAAAACTATATTGGAAAATGGTTTACAAACAGTTAAGAAATGAAATATTAGACAAATGATAATTTTATACTAAAATTTCAGACTCCAGTATTATTGCTGTTATTGGTTTGGTTCGAATGTAGGTATAATATGTGATAACATCTTCAAAGTCCTTTAGTTGAAAAACACACCTATTAATACTTATTCCAAATGTATCTAAATGTCTTCCTGACTGATTTAAAAAAAGATGGCCTTAAAAATAGAGCTAATACTGAACTAATAAAAGACGTGTTTTACGAAATACAAAACCAAAACTGGAGAAGCATGAGAACTTTTTGATTAATAAACCTTAAGAGGAAGTTAATCAAGCGATTGTCGAATAGGTTAGACCGATAGCGGATGTTATTATGAGTAAACAAGGAAAGTAGAGAGATGAGAAGTTTGTACGAGGTCCGATTATCCTATTGCTAGACCCAATTTTTCAGTTTATCTTTACTTACTGACTAATTTGGGTGTTAATTTATTAGATTCCAGCATTCCCTACTTTTTCATTACATGCCGTACTTTACACACAATCCTTTCCCTTGCTCTGTTAGCGTTAGAGCTTGAAATTAATTCCTTAATGACGGTTTTACTAAATTTTCTTCCTGTAATTATTGTCATATTTAATTGCTAGCACTATGTCTTGATTATAGAATTAGCTGACATTGGTGGTATTTCTGCTATTAGCATTATTTCACTCGATACTTCTGACTCTACAACTAAGACATGACGTACTTTCAACAGAAGAACGAAACTGGAAATTATTTCGCCAATCATTCTTCCTTCCTCTGATCTCTTCAGTGTGATGATGTAACTCAACCTTATTTCGCTGCAGCATTCCAAGTTTTTATATTATAGTAAATGTAACCAATGGCTGATTAATTGTAACTAATTACAAGTTTCATAGTCCTACAGGTTATAGTACTTATCAAATACATTGTTGAGGTCAAGAACTCAGCCAGTAAGGAGGAGTTGTTGCTGATAGGGACACTGAGACATTTTTGAAATTATTAGAATTATCCAAGCTCAGAGACTGGAATATATAACAACTCGGTATACTATTGAATATCATTAAACTGATTTCTGGTCTTTTACTCCAATATATATATACAAAAAACTACACGAGGAACTGTACATTGATGGACACCTGTAGAATAGTCTTAACTTTTGAAGCAATGCATTTATCCTCTTTGGTGGTGATTGGTTTTGAAAAGTTTTATATTGGACTATTCATAACCAACTTTACTTAGTGCTTTCATTGCAAAAGATATAATCATAATGTCTCTAAATGCAAAGGTGTCCATAATTATTCTATTCGTGGTGGCCCCTAGCCTTGCACTCATTGTTTAGTCACATCTCCTTATTCTCTGCCAGTTATTCAGACTTATACAGTGCTCGATTTGAAAAATGCAAAATAATTGGAACATGCCAGAACCTACACCATATCACTAGTACAAAAAGAACACAAACTCGTTTCTCTTACTTTTATGGATCTTGGAACTTCCTAAACCTTAGTTATTTCTTAAAATATATTAATATTTCCTATTGTCCTTCTATTAACACCTTTTCTCCTCGACCAGAGATGAAAATGAATGAAGCTGGAAGTAATTCTGGTGTCAAAAATATGCAAACTAGCACCTTACTATCTTATGGAATACTCGACTCTAAACTGATAATGTATGTTGAAGTCATAATTGGAAGGGTTCAGGGTTCTAAACATTCCGAATATTTAAATAATCACCATTTTGTCCATCTGGTTCCAGAATATATTAAAACTTCTATCTCGTGATGTTTCTGTGACTTGATATTCTACAGTGGAATGCTAAAAGCCTATATACTCACTACTTTGAAATGCGATGGTACTGGAAAAACCGTTCCTCCTTTTATCTGTATGCGAATCTTAGTTAAGGCCCTCTACTATTTACCCATTCATTTCCTGGTTATAATATATCTCAGAATGACAAGTCCTAGGGAGAGTATGGTTATCTATGTATTCTGATCTAACGAAATATTTTGTCTTTTTTCGGATTTTCTTTCAAACATCTAGCCACTTGAGGTCTTGAATATTTGTGTTTGTTAGAGTACCAAAACTCTGTTCTAAATGTGACACCTAAATATTACCGCCTTACATCTTGTTTTCAGTTAGCTACCCGTTTTCCTTATTTTCAGAGACTTTAATACCCACTACTCTTTGAGAGTCTCCTTTAATTCTGATTCTAATGATTTAATTAGTAAATGCCTCCTTAGTAAAAGGAATTAGTTATTTTAATAATTGTACGTCACATGTATGAACCACCCAACTAGTTGACTCTCTGCTCTTGATATTACTATAGTACACAGAATTTGGATGAAAAATGTGTTGTGGAAATCCACAAATTATATTGGCAACGATACCTTCTCTTACATCGTTAACAACTCCTTTATCTTGGACCATTTTTATCTATTATTCCGCTTGTTCAATTTTTCACAGGTGTAGGTTGGTATGAATATTTTTCTCATTTGGATGCCTCTTACTTTAGCATGATTTTCCTACGATTACTCTTCCTATTTTTTTAAAGACTCGTGGTGAAGGCTGAACAACTTTTGTCCTTCCAATCTAGACAATTTATGAGTACTCAGAAAAAGGTTACAAGAGTGTAATGCTGAAAGTAAAAAGTTTATTATTCGTTGTCGTCGAAGTTATCACTACCTGGCTCTCCATTTCAGCAAAATGTTCGTCAACTTCCTTATAATAAAGATAAATGACATATTAAGAATTGTGAGAGGTCTAACTTGAAAAACTGAAACAAAATTAACAAAAATATCTATTCCATATTATTAATGCCAATTACATGCGCCAAAATAATGCTCGACTTTCTGATGGTTACTATTTAACTACCTCAACATTACAAGTGCCAGACCTATGCTAAATTTCTGCTCAGTAGAATGGATAATTAAGCTTTTCCTCACAACAACAATAATGCTCTTATTTTTCAACTAACATGTATAAAATCCTTCTAATGTGTTAACAAAATAAATTCAATACTTCTTTCCCATAGCAAGATACTAATGGATAAGACCATGTTACTTATTTCATAATATAGCATTTAGATAAATATATTCTAGATTTTCTCCTAAAACAGTTTAATGACAATGGAGTGAAGGGTGTTTGTCCTCCTATCTGGACCCATAATGCTGTTCTTTTTGAGGGTCTCTGGTATACGAAGCGTTTCAATCAAACATCTGCCCTTCCTCATTATCATAATGTATTAGCAATATTTTTATAACCTAGGATTACCATACTTGTGTGATCTATAGAATATTTAAACGTTCTTTTTCGGCCAAAATGATTTTCAAAGAGAACGAAGCATCACGAATTGTCTAGTTTGTCTTCAAAAGCCTATTTCTTGATTTGGCTTTCACAGGCTATAATATTCCGATGTTTCTTGATATGGAAGATGTTTTAGGTTCCTTGTGGGGTGATAGTTTACTTCCAAACCTTTTTTGATCGATATATAAAAGACAAATCTTTGTAGTGATTAAATTACTTTCTTCACCACAGGGCTTACTGTATCAAATCGAATGACAAGAGTAAAAAATGTTCACCTATCTGATTTGGAAAGCGTTTTAAAGGAATGTGATTCTGTAAGCATTTCTGTGTATTAGAGCTTGTTGCCAACTGCAAGAAAAGCTTAAACGTTCTACGTAATTGTTGTTTCTAATGGAGAAATAATCAACATATTCTGCTTCTTTATAGCTCTTTTATTCATCTAAAGTTAGATTATAGTTGTATTTTCGAAAACATAACTCTTACATAAAACTGACAGTATCCACTATGTTGCTTTGCATACCTGCTTGGTTACAAAACTGATACACCCTTATCTTTGTTCTTCAAATTGTAGCTTGTGGGCGCCTTATTGATCTTTACTGGGCATGCTTGCATCCATAATGTTAAGATAATACAGTCTCACCCTTTCCAACTTTATTCAAGATAAAATTGCCTCAACTTTGATTATTTGGAAATTGGGTTGTATACATAATGTTTGCTTTCATATTGTTTACAGCTTATAATGATTCCACTCGTTATGTGTAACTTGTTTGTTCAATGTGGCACCTACCCAGCGATTTATCCACAATATTCACGTGGGTTTCTCTATAATTAATCTTCCTAATAACAAATGTAATCCTTTCTTGCTGTCGGAAATTATCAAGTTTTGGTGATCCTCTAAACATGCACGCTATTGAATCTTATAATCCTTCATCTGGTCGGAAAGCAAGTGCCGTTTTTGTCCATTTCCTTGGCATTTCAAAGGATTTGTCTTCTGGCAATACTGGAATTTATATCCGCTGAATTACTAGTTTTGTTGTTTATCTTTGCTGTTTCTCTCTTTGCTGTAGTAGACGTTTGCTTTCTCAACTTCTTTTCCAAGGCTGCTCTATGAAATCTATTTGGATTCCTGGACCTATTTCACTGACAATCTTGCCGAAAAGGCTTGTGGGAAACATACAATTGACATCTTCCTTACTTCTGGTTTTCGTCGCAATTTGCGTCTTCAATTAATTCATGCTTGGACTCTTGGGTCTTCTCTACTATTGGCCATTTTACTTATAATATTATACAATTTTTTTACTTTTTAATAGGAAATTGATATTTTCATCAGCTTATGTTTTGACAAATGAGAATCTAATTACACTGTGTTGAAAATTGGAAAATTCGTCTCCAAAACTCCTCTGCATGACTTATGTCTCCATGACAGTTATACAACTATCAACCATGTTCTTGCTGACCGTCCTTAATATTTTGTTGCGAAACAAGTTTTGTTACGTTCTAAAAATTTATAACTTTCATTTTAGGATAAAGACGATCTCCTAAGTGTTCCACATATACTTTCTTTTGCTCAATACTCAAGGCAATCTTACGTTATTCAAGATATCTTCCAGTTTGATTACATATAAACTCACCTATTTAAAAAAAAATCAGTTTTGATTTTCATTTCGTAACCTTTTTGTTTTGAAAGAGCCTAATATTTAGAGACACAAATGAGCCAACATTCCAGAAAAGAAGAATGTTACCTTTTAGAGTAAGTAGTGTGACAACACATCTTTATAACACTGATCATGTAAACTTTTGAAGGATCCAACATAAATTTCCAGTGGGAAAGATACTCTGTGTTAGACCAATACCAGCATTATCAATCGCTCAATATCAAAGGTGCAATCAGGTCTCATGCGCGGGCGGAAGTTTGCATTACGTATTGGTGTGTTTTTCTTATAGCAAAGCCACATCGGGCTACTTGCTGTGTCCACCAAGGGGAATCGGACCCCTGAGTTTAGCGTTGTGAATCCCACCGGATTGGACTGTTTAGCTGCTTAGAAACTTTCGTAATCTTAATATATTGTTTTAATACTTTAGTTAAGAAAAATATATTTGATTTGGTTTTAATTTCGCGCAAAGCTACATGAGGGCTATCTGCGCTAGCCGTCCCTAATTTAGCAGTGAAAGACTAGAGGAAAGGCAAGTAGTCATCACCCCCCACTGCCAACTCTTTTATCTACGAATAGTGGGATTGACCGTCGCACTGTAACTCCCAGCTGAAAGGGCGAGCATATCTTGCGGAACCGGGATTCAAATCCGCGACCCGCAGATTTTGAATCGAGCGCCCTACCACCTAGCCACCAAAACAAATATATCCAAAACTATGACGGACGATTTATGCGCTCAGGCTGATGAAGAGTGATATCTACAGTCTCAGCAGAGAGAAACTTTAATATCTATTTCTTCTTGGAGTTGTTATTCACCTCTTCCGTATACAGATAAACTAACACAGATAAAAATAATTCAAAATATTTGTTAATGAAGACATTTCAGTATAATGTAGTTTATATTAGGTGTTATGGTATACAATATAACAAGATTTACAACTGACAATAAGATAAACAATATTCATAAGTTTATAGACAATGCATACCAGTTACAGGATTTGTTATATCTTTTGAAAGGTTAGAATACACACACACACACACATTATATATCATTATTTGAAAACCATTTACCAATATTTCTATCCTCGTCTATTTTATTCTAAAACTTTGACTTCTTGGATATTAAAGTGGTAACCTAATTGCTATATTTGGTGATTATGACTTTAAAATTAATATGAACAGTTTATTAACATGCAATGTTCAAGTAGTGTTAAGCGTATAAACGTACATACGGATTCAAAAGTCCGTTGTCACACACACACACACGATTTATAAATGGAGAAGGACAGGAAAATATTTGTTAGAGGTAATAAAACAAGATGCCATAAACCTACCTTCTAACAATATCACTGACGTTATACAAGGTCATCTTCAACCATGTCCTTCGGAAATACTATTAGTATGCAATGTTATTGGCACGGGTGTAGAAAAATGGGAAATGAAACAAACTGAACCAAAAGTTGCCGACAGTTATAAGTATAAATACATCCTTTCCATGTATATAACTATACAACAGATGATCGAAATCCGATCATAAGGTTTGTTACAAACGTAGGTTTGAGATGCGATGTCAGAATTTTGTATTATCGGGTCATTTCAATTTTGAAAGGTCCAAAAGGTTAAAATGTATTCAAGTAAGAATATTCTAAATAACATACAAGCATCGTTCTTCTCCTCAATTATCTAAATAGTGGAACAGTATTTATTTTAAGAAAATGGTTTAACATAGTCCTAGTGTATGGAGATTGTCACCACAATGCCAGACCGACCGATAGATTGCATGCCAAACGATTGCCAGATAAACATTATCCTCCTCATCAGATAATAAAATGTCTGTCAGCGGCCTAGATACTTCAGGCTCATTTACTCATACACGCCGTATATGGGCAGGCAAAGAACATTAACCAATACTGACAATGAAGCCGCCATATTGGCATTTGTCACCGTTTCGTAATATCTCATTTACATTTATACCTATAAATTATTTGTCAATAGTCCAAAATAAGTTAAAATGGCAGCTAGTCTAAGTAGCTTTGTCACACATACAAGAATTTCTTTATTTCTTAATTATTTGCCTCCTAACTGACTAACTCTGAATTAAGCTGTACACACAAAAAGTTGTATTTAAATTAGTGTTGTTTTATGATTCTTAGTTTCGAAGAGTTCAATTTATAGAATAGCTCTAGTATTAAGAAAATGTAATCTCTTGAGCTTAACTCAAAATAGAACAATAAACAAGTTTATAGGCTAAAATAGTTATGTTTTTGTTGGAATCCGAAAATATCACTTTTTTTGTGAGAAACCTCGTAAAATATCACTTGCTTGAACACGTAATAAACACGATTTATTACTACCGGGTTTTATTTACCTGAATATTGAAAATTAAACACATTCCTCTTCTTTGGTTTCTCATATCGTAGCTCTCCAACTCTAATGATGCCGCCATGTTCTCAATCTGTACAGGAAAATAAATTTCCTTTTTAACAACAAGACAGCCGATATTAACTTACCTTAATTACAAACCACGATATATATATATAATATATATATTTTATTAGGCGACATTATATTGCTTTATGTATTTCAGTTTTATTAAAGTCAGTGAAATATTAATCTAGTTTTTGGGTTATTTTTAAATTGCCTGGAAATTGGATCATTAACGATATTGTTCATTGGATTTACAATTATTGTGTTGCTGATCAAATACAATGAATGGATGCAATTTAATTTTCTGTAATAATCTCTGCGAAATAGTCAGTATAATTGGCGAAAATACCTTTTTAAAGACGACATCGTTTTGCGGATGCGCATAAGTATTTTATTATTAATTTGTGCTAATCGTTAAATCGTCAACTTCGATACCACAAACCAAATGAATAATTTTATATTTAAATTATCTACGATATGGTAGCAATGCAGAGATAATTAAAAATGAACATCGCATGTTGACGTTGGCACCCTATCGTTAACATCTGCCATATGCTAGCAGCGATTTACAAGGGAATTAAAATCCCCTTTATACCTGTATAGTCAGATTAAATCGCGATGGTTTAAAATAAAGCACGTACGAGATGTGAAAAAAATCCAGTTATCATCTGTTTAAGTTTCTAACATTACCTTTAACTAAAGTTGTGAATTTAAACACAAGGAACTAGTGTAGACAAGTAAAATACGTGTAACTTATTTTTACTTATTTCTTCATTGTTTCTAGATTTATCTATAACTTTCGTACGTTACATATAGCTTTCTCTAAAAAAATAAATAAATGTATGTGATTTACGTATCTTCAGAATTGAAGGCCTAGGTGTTAAATAAATAGATGTGCACCTGCATTTTCAACAATTACCCGAGTTACACACGTGTTTAAGATAAACTCGCGATAACATACAAATGAATGTTTTTCTATGCAATGTAAAACAATTTGAAAACAAGTTAATCACTCTAGAGAAACCTCGCCAGAAAATGGACTGAACGAGCACTTTGAAGTATCACGAAAATCTTTGAAGTGTGCAGAAATGTTTAAATATTACAAACTAACAATAGCGTTAGAAGAAAAACTGGTACTAATAGCAGTAGCTTTTTAGACATTTAAACCAACAGAACTAAACATACGTTAGTTAATGGCTAAATAGAAACTGCTACGTTTATCACTCACTTAGATCTTTTTTTACTGCAGCAGAAATGGTGATGAAAAGTAAATTACTACATAAGATGTATTGCTCTCCTATAGTTCATATGTCATAATAGCATTTCCACTCTTAAAATTTACTCTGCATTAAAAGTACCTGCTTTTACAGCTTAAGCCATTTTGTAGAGTCATTTGTTTTGTAAACTTCCAATAGAAAAATAAAATTTCTTGCAATTAAAAAGTCAATTCTTTGCTTCATTTTTTTATTTTTATATATCATAAATATAGCAAAAGAAGTTAGAGTATTAATTAAGATGTGGAAGTAATATAATTACAAGTTGCGTTTTTCTGTTCAACTTTTATTTTAAACTAGATACCGATCGTGCTGTATAGTCTTGTCTAATTTATTAGATAGCATATTTGGTTTCAAAAAAAAAAACATTTAATAGAAACCACCTCATCTCCAACAGCCAGTTTTGGGAAGGTAAATTACTCCAGACCTAATGGTAAAAAACTAAGGACTAAAATATGCAAGATTAAGTACTACTTTCGAATACTGAAGGTGGCAAGCAAATCTCTTAGATTTGGTATTTAATTTCAATAATAGAGATAAACAGAGTGTTTAAACTTATGTCCAGATCAATAAATTCCATAATGAAAACTAAATGGAAATCTATGTTAGTATTTTGTTACACGTCACGTTTGCAGTAGCTGAAACTAAAGAAAAGCATTAAAACAATTTTAATATGCTTACCTCTTGCAGAACCAGTAGCAAAGTCCGGAAGCATTCGACACGAACATATCAAATATTCACCTTGTAATCAACTTTTATACTTGTAGTGAATATCAGACAAAAATTCCAGAAGCCGTTCCTGATGTCAAATCCGTGTGCTTTTACTTGAGACACCGTAAATCCATAATAAACATATGTAACTGATAACAATACGTGTTCGCCTCTTTTTCGTGGAAGATCAGATCCACAAGATAAGTTGTAATTTAGAAGGCTTTCAATGTTTGGAACAAGCAGCGTTCGTGCGAGGGTGTTGGCGATAATTGCTTAGTGTTTACAATAATTGATTGGAGCTAAAATAGAGATAGTATTTAACAAAAACTTGGGTTTCCAGTCATGTTTTTCAAATACAAAACAAATGAAAACTGATCAACTTGTTTATCGGCAGTATTGAGGAAATTAAGAGGTGAAAAAAAAGCAAAGTCGAGACATGTTCGTATTTCATTATACTTTTGATACAATAATTTGGTTGGTACGAAAACACTGCAAGGACGAAGTCAACCGTTCAAACAAATCAAACTTTTTTATTGTAGTAAAAAACCGAAAGCTTTGTTGCCTAAGACGTGTTTGAGTCTCCTCTACTGTAGGATATCATATTGAGTAGTAGTTACGTTAAGAAAAGGTGAAATATTTAATTTATGTAAAATACGTATAATACCAACAATTTCTGAGATTAAAAACAATATATTATAATCCTATGACGAGAGAACTGAATACGGTTTCACGTATATCATTTCAAAATAAGCCTGTTACAGCTTTTAAATTAATACACGAGAAAAGCATCCTCCTCCATCAAGTGTCCCTGATAATGGTGTATTTTTCTAATTCATTGAGTAATAGTAAGTATGTCTGGACATGCTATTCCAAACACCAACATGACACGTACGTAGAACTTCACGAATAAGACGATGATTTGTATCTTTAGATTTATGTCTATCTTACATAATAGTTCATATAAAACACTTAAGAGGATACTGATTATGAAACAGTCTTTTCACTTTGAAACAACCGTTTAATTTGTCCTGTTTCACTTAAAGATGTTTTAAGGAAATATTTAGTTGCAATATTTTGAATAGTCAGTGTATGGAAAATAATTGCCACACTACTATTTCCAAATCGAAACTTTGCTATACGAGTGGTTTCTTCAAGTGTTAGGAAAAAGCTACCGAAGAATTTCATTTTAAGCAGTAACTACAGTGTTAAAGACTAGCTGTTGTTTTATCGTAAATACAATTAATTATTATTAATTTGGCTCTTGTTTAGTATGAAGGAAGACAAAGTACAAAGACCTACGAAAAGCAATATTTAATTCTCCTTTGCACAAAGAGTATTACATCGATTGCACAGAGGACGACAGCCTACGTAGGCTACCTCGCACCAGAAAGCTGAACCAGTGCTGTATTGAAGGTTAAAGTAAACATCCAACAATCGCTAAACTTCAACACAAACTTCCATATCAACACCAACACTCATTCAATACGACTAATATCGTCGCGATATGCTACTTAATTCAACTTCCTTTCTAAAAGGGGGCTTACAATACAACTCTTTTACAGATTTCGTGCTAAGGAACATTTTACACTTATCATACTGTAAGATATTATCTCTTACCGCCAGTATGAAGTAAAAACCAGAACATTAAAACTAACACTTTGTAATACCATATTAAAATTAAAACATCAACTGTCATAACTGGAATGTCAATATTTAAAGCCAAATATAACATGAAACTAAAGGAAGAACAATGGACAAGTCTACCGCGGTTCTATAGGATTTTCGCATTACAGATGCTTCTTATAGTTGACCTTCGAAAGTATGCGAAGACTGGACGATAAAATCTTTCCACATTATTTTAAAACGTTTTAAATAATCTAAAATTTATGCGAGTAGACTTCACGAATTCTTTAGAACTTAAACTTGATAAAATAATCAACTGTACAATTACTAAACATTTCAAAAAGAGATAAAAACAAACAGTACTTTTAACAATACCATATAGTTTCACACAAATGTTGCGATAAATAAAATAACTAAATTATAAAACAAACTATTGTAAGTGTAATACTTCAATACTTGTACAAGTTCCGTGATAACTGACGGCCACTTTCCACTACTTTGGCACTGGCCTCTGCTCCCACAACTTGATTGTTGGTTCGCGACCTACAAGCTCGGAAGTAACACACTTCTCCATGAACCCGGAGAAAAATGAAGACGAAGTACTGGGACTTTAAGGAATATAAATACGACTAAGCACTTATAACGTACAAGCTACTAGGATAGGTCAGTTCCCTAACAGCAGTTGGTTCTTGTCTATTGTCTCCTCTATTCCTCCTCCAACATCGCTAACAGCCAGATAAGCGGCCGAAAATCCCTTAGCGTTAATGGTATCATCCGACCTGAATCTCAACAACAAACCATCACCAGTAGACGTGAACTCTGGTGGTACCTAACGAGATAAAAATAAGAACGGTAAATATTGTTTATAAGAACTTTAGATCCTGCTTTTGTTTATAGCACATAACAAAACGTTGCTTAAACCCTACTACACCTTAATATTTAGATTATACAAAGACATTATAAACAAAGAATAAGTTTCCGTTTTAACTACATAAACTATATGAAAAAGCTCTAAACTTTGTTTTTGACGAAAAACACTGATCTTTACTCTTATAATGATCCAATCTTATAACTTTCGATAAATATGTCAATTAAAATACTAATTTTTATTGTATAAAAACTTTATCACTAACTTTATTTCCACAGAAACGACCTAGGTGAGGAGCAGAGTCGTCGTACCCGTCGTATAATTCTACAAAATCGTAACCACAATCTTGTTCATGTTCGACCTCAAAAGTCAAAAATCTAAGCCTGACACTTGTTCCTTCCTCGGCCTGTATGATCCAGTCACAATCTTCTTTATTGTCATAGTTCTGATCACCATATTTCGAATGAGAGTACAAGTGCTCCACCGAAGGCAGCGCTGTTAGACGGCCACCACAGACTAAAAACAAGAAAATATTTGATTATACATCGGTTCTATAAAATAAAACTATGAACTTCTGCATATTTTAACTCCTACCTTAGAAAGTAGGTTTTTTTTCTTGCTATCATTTTGAAACAAATATTATAGTGCCTTGCAAAAATATTCACCCCTACCCATAATGTAAACAATTTTTTCTAATAATTTTTTTTTCAAAACTAATGATCAAATTTAACACTTGTATGAAGTAGATTGAATATTAGCAAAATCTGCAAAGAAAATATATAAATTGAAATTTGCTGATTTCACAACTTCAGCCCCACAAGTCAGTCCTTGGTGGAAGCACCTTTGGTAGCAATTATTGCTACGAGTCTTTTTGGATATGCGTCTACCAGTTTTGTACAATGAGATAGTTAATTTTTGCCCATTCTTTTTAGCAAAATTGCTCCAATTCTGACTGCAATCTTCAAGTCTCGCCATAAATTTTCCATTGAATTCTAGTCAAGAAATTGACTGGGCCACTCCAGGACGTTCACTTCTTTTGAAACCTCTCCAGCTTGGCTTTGGCCTTGTGCTTTGTATCAATGTCTAGCTGAAATATGAATTTTCGCTACAGTTTGAGACTTTGTTGACTCAAGCAGGTTTTCCCTCTAGAATTCGCCTGTACTTTGCACCATCCATCTACTCCTTAATCCTGGCATGCTTCCAAGTCCCTGCTAGTAAGAAGCATCCCTATAACATGATGCTGCCACTACCATGCTTAACAGTTGGGATGGTATTGACTGGGTGATGTGCGGTGTTGGGCTTGCGCCGGACGTAACGCTTTGAATTTGCACCAGAAAGGTCAATTTGTCTCGTTTGACCAAACATTCTGCCACAAGCGTACAGTATCATTTACATGCTTTGTCACAAATTCTATACGAAGTTTAGAGATTATTTTTCAGTAATGGCTTCTTTCTCGCCACTCGCCCATACAGGGCCGTTTTGTGTAGAGACCGGGATATTATCGATGTATGAACACCAACTCCCATGCCAGACATGGAACTTTGAAAATCTTACAAAGTCACTGTTGGGATCACAGTGGCTACATAGTTTGGAAGGGCGACATGAAACACATTCCACTTCTTAATGATGGACTTCACTATACTCAAAGGGATAAATACCGACTTTTGAAATTTTGTGTAACCTTCTCTTGATCTGTTTTTTGCCACTTTATCCCTGACGTGAGTTGTTTAAACAAATACATTTACTCTGAAGTCACGTTAAACCACTTTGATTACACATAGACTGAGACCATTACATTAACTTTGCCACTTTCCAAACTAATCTTTTGCACCTGAACTGATTTAGGGTTGCTATAGCAAAGGGGTTGAATACTTGTGCGATTGAGTATATTCTAATTCTTTGAAAATCTAACTTACTTTTATGATGTCAACATTTTTTTAAGCTTGTTCAGTTTGGATTATATTGTGTAGATTCTACAAATAAGGTCCCATTTGAAAGTCACGATTGAAGAACAGTCGGAAACAAAATGAGGAAACTTTGCAGGGAGGGTGAATACTTTTGCAAGGCACTGTCAGTGAAAAAAATATTAAGCCTTAAAATGCTGTCACTATTTAAGTACAACGCAATATTGAATGTAGGATTAGTTATTATCTCAAGAACAAATATGTCGATTAAAGTTTAATTCAATTAATGTCTTAAGGTCTGCTGAAGTAAACTATATAGAACCATCTTTATAGCGTTGTCTTAAAAACCTTCAAGTTCAATAGAGCTGAAAAACATTCCCATCGAAAATATTTGTTATAAATACGAGTTGAGGATTACAAACATTTACAAAATTATAGGATATTGCTTTCGTTTTGTATGCTGATTTGAAGTTCTTACCAGTAGAGTGTGTAGCCTTAAAGCCTTTCCGCTGCACAGAAGCATCCGATGTAAAAATCATATACATTCTGTTGGATGAAGCCAAAATTGGATGAGGCACTTTGCTGCCACAGAAACGGCCCAAGGTCGACGAATCAGTATTTTCCCCATCGTAAATAGCGATGTGGTCATACGTACACTCTTGGTGAGGTTCCAGTTCGAAATCGTTGAACAGCTACGAAAAAAGCATAGGATTTTAAAATATTTTCTAAGTTCATACTTTGCAATCAAAACTCGTAAAAAAACTGTCCGAGTCTCTAGTTGCAAGCTATATTTGATAATGATTAGGCCTAACTATAATTTACTCAAAAACACGAATCCAAGTTTGTGGAAGTTATATATTCCCTCATTGCTCGACAATTTCTGTACAAGAACATACAGAGTAAGTTTTGCCCTTCCATTCTTTAAAGGTAAGCTTGAACATTAACTTTTGCAGTTCACGCAGGCAACAAACGATACAGAATTTGTTGTAGAAACATTTATTGCAAATTATTATATAAACGCAAACTGGAGTTTAAAAATTAATTTATTGGCAAGGTTTGACAAATAGTGGACTTAAATATAAGCATATGAACATTCCGATATTTCAAATGAAGTTGGGGATTTATTAAGCACTACATCATGAGCCAATTTAAACTATCATGTTTTTTTTCTGACATTTTTTACTATCTGGATCATTTAACATTATTCTTGACAAATATGCCAGTTAAAAATTAATTTTAGTATTAATACAATAAAACATTAGGAAGTTTTCCATAAAATTATGGTAGATTAGCGATCTAATAGATGGCGCTGTATACAGAAAAAGTCAAACGTTTAAACTGAAATGATAATAAACTCGTCAGCATACGTTTGTTCTCTAAGTGAGCCCATCATTAAATATCTAGTTTTTAAAACAGCCATATTTATATAATTGGATAGAGTTGTATTAAAGAAGTTTAAATGGCAGTAGAGTTTAAATATAATTAGGTTTTCTATTTCGCAAACATTTGCTTAAAAAATGTATAAGGATAGATTTACATAAATCTCTTGTCAATAAATAAATAAAAATAATAAATAAATAAAAGCAAGTAACCCATTACCCGTTAACAAACACAATAAGAGTATTATAGTAAAAAACCTTCTCCAAATATTTTCATTTTTGTATTTTTGTAAAGAAAGAGTGAAAAGTAATAAATTTAAAATCACATTTAATGTAACATAACTTAACAGTTTAAAACATAAAAAGCGTTGACCTTAAAACGTGGGAAGTTTTACATTGGTAAGTAGGTCTTGTTAGAGAAAGCCTTATTTTCGAAATTGAAGAATATCCTGGAAGATGCACAAGTATGAATACCGGTTTGTGTTTGAGTTGTTTCAAGTTAAATAACTTGCTGTTAAGATTTTTTTTATAAATCAATACTGTGTTTAAAACCTGAAAGCACTCTTGTTAACTTATAGATCAAAATTTTAGTTTTAAGAGTTTCATAAATGAAACTTAACATGAAAAAGCTCTATTAAGCAAAAACTGGAAGTTGAGCTCTGAAAGTAAAGAAGCTTAGAAGATCCAATGGGAAGCATCTATAACTAGTTGAGATGAGTAAATAGAACAGTCATTGTATAAGCTTTGTTCATTTGTAGGAACTAATTTGGGACCGTTATAAGATGATCATTTGAATGTAGACATTTCTAAATGGATTAAAGAGAGGTGCAAATATTAGTTATTACAACACATGATGCAGTTATTCTGGTGAGCATAAAATGCTTTACACATAAAGACGTAAACAGTTTACTACAATTTACCAGTTTAATTCTGTGACCTGGGGTTGTGGTGAAGAGCCAGGCACATTCTTTCCTGCTGGGGTAATAGTCTGGGAAGTTAGGGCTGCTAATTTCACCAACAGGATCGGAGATATGATGGGTGCAGCTTCCTAATGAAAGGAATCCATCGTCAGTTAGTTTTCACAAATGTTTTATATAAGAATTAGTTATGCAAGTTAAGTAAATATCAAAGTTTCTAAATTTTAGTTTAGTTTAATTTATTGAAGCGAGTTAATAAAAAGTTAATGTACAAGAAATGTTGATTCAAATACACACCGTTTTTAAAAACAAGTAAAACTTAATTTCCTGAGAATTTAATTTCACTTGTCAGTTAAAAGAAGTAAAGTGATTAAGTTTGACAAACACTATCCATCTTAAAAGAGTCAGACTCCTTTACTAATCATTGGGAGCTTTACAAGAAATTGAAACACTGAATTTTCGTAGTGTGTGTAGTATTAAAAAGATTAAAGTTAATAAAATTCATTTCCTTAAAATAAAGATAAATTATTAGAATGGCCCATACCTTCTTTACAGTCATGTTTGTTTTCGTGAAGAATGAAGCCATTATGACAAGCACACACGTAGCTTCCTATCGTGTTCTTACAGATGTGTTGACAGCCTCCGTTATTTGTAGCACATTCATCTTTATCTAAAAATTATGGTATGAAAACTATGATAATTTCCACTACTTCTAGACCATAGTATTTTAAGAATAAAACCATGAAGCACTTTACAAAAGTGTTTATTATAGAATAAACAAGATAGCCGTTCTTAATTTCATTTTAGAACACTGTCGCTGAACACCCAATTCTTAACTTCATACTTTTAAAATGGATGTTTGTATGTTAAAACTTCGACATCAACCAAACGAACCAAAAGTGACAAATTGGCACTAACCAATATTTGGGGAGGGATTTAAGGCTTACTTTCTTAAATGAATATTAAATAAATCACATTGTCAAAATGTTACACATACCTGTAAAAAACACTGCAGCAAATCCACTTTTTTGGACCGAATTATCAGAGTTAAATTCGATCCGAAGATTATTACCTTCCGAAGTGATGATAGGTGGTAAACGAGAACCACAGAAAATTCCATGTTTTCTAACTTCATTATCGCCCATCTTGCTCTGAATGTCCACGCTGTCATATTCACAGTCTTGCTAGAGTAAGAAAAAAAGATAAGTAGCCACATTGAGAGCAGGTGTTTTGGAGATTGGCAGTATCCGTTAGAGCAAGTATAGTGTGGCAATATAGCTAGTATGAAAAGTTCACTATAGGCATTTTAATCTTCTAAATATAGTCGGTATTTTTATTTTAGCATTTAGTTAACTTTCTTTCCAAGTGTTTGGAGGACGATTGGTTTACGTGACATTCCCAATTCGTCACTAATACTTCAATATTAAGATAAGCTGCTATAACGAGGTAGAGCACTAATTATGAGCTATATACTGTCATGCGAGTGAGAACATTTATATCGTTATAATGACAAAAATCACATAAATACTGCGCATTTAGTAAGCTAATCTCATTGGTAGTCATTTATTTAGGGTAATGATGCTAATCTAGTAATATAATTTCCATATATTTAATATCTGGTATATACAATAAGACAACCATATTCGTAGTTTCGAATAGTTGTAAGAAATAATTTTATCGACCAATTATTTACTCTGAAGTGCACAAAGGTAAATATAATAAAAGTCAAGTGCAACAGATGCTAAAAACTTCAATTTTACAAAGAAAGATATAGATATTCGGTATACAAAATTACTCACGTTGTTTCCCTCCAAGTCGAAATGCGTGAAATTCAAAGTGATTCGGAACTGAGGAAGAGCAACAATTTCCCAGACACACTTCTTATTTTGAGGGTAGAGATCAGGGAAGGAGGGACTAATAATAGTTCCATTCATTGCGTCGATAATGCCTCCGCAAGCATCTGCAATTTACGAAAGAGTTTAATATGAAAATAATGCGCAGACGCTTTTAAGATAAAATATATTAACATTTTTCATTGGCACAAGAGCTTAAAATTTCTTACCATGAAGAAGGATTCTTCAAGCTTTCCCAATGTTTTAATTTCAGTTTTCAAACAAGTAAATAAAAATATTAAAAATACGAGTTGTTTATTCTGTATCTAAAACAGATACTGGAACAATTTGTTTATGAACGCCACGGTGAAAGCATAAAATTCACACTATAACGTTGTGGTGTAAAATGATTTAAGTTTGACATATCCTAACCTACTAGTAAGAAATGGCTTCCAATACATTGAAAGTTTCGATTCGGAATAATCAAGTTGAAAATTAGACTTAAGGAGTGAAATACTTGAAACCCAAACTTCAATTTGTAATACAATTCGTCAATTAGATCAAAATCTTAAATTTCACGTACTTCAAGTGATTAATGAGACTGACATTATTATGCAAGACGAATAGGTAATTTGTAGTAAGAACTTCTGTATCATTCATTATTTAAGTAAAAGGCGAAGACATTTACGAGTCTCAACGATACAGTTCCAGTCGAGTACTAATACAGATGATATTGATCCAAACAAACTGTACCTTCACATTTCTTTCCATCGGAATGAAGTTCGTAACCAATCTTACATTCGCACCTGTATCCTCCTAAAGTGTTCACACAGGTGTGCTCGCACCCATGATCCTTACCGGCACATTCATCATATTCTGTTTAAGAAAAAAGATGAAGTAATGAACGACCACAAAATACTATACTAAATTTCCGTTTGAAGAAGCATACAGAACAAAATTTAAAGTGTTGCATACTACATTAAGAATACCATGTTGCAAACTAGAATAAAAGCAGTCAAAAGTTAATTTTCAAACAAATGTAAGATGAAATGCAAAAGTGTCCAAAGATTTAGTTCTCCGACAGCACAACCTATTCTATTCAACTTCCAATTAGAAATGAAACATCACTGACAGGTGAAAGATAATCGGTTGGGTTCGAATTTCGGGCAAAGCTACACGAGGACTATGTGCGCTAGCCGTCCTTAATTTAAAAGTGATAGACTAAAGAGAAGGCAGCTAGTTATCTCCACCCACCGCCAACTCTTGGACTACTCTTTTACCAACGAATAGTGGGATTCACCGCACTTTATAACGCCCTCATGGCTGAAAGGACGAACATGTTCGTTCTGACGGGGATTCGAACCCGCAACCCTAACCACCAGATCCCAAAAGAGGATGAGGATTTTATAAATTAAACAACATAGTGCTCCATAGAACTTTATATGTTTAAACAATGATTAAATGTAGGTATAAATTTTGCTTTTTATCTTCCGGTAATTTCTGTTAAAATATATGCTATATTAGTTTGTTCTTACAACCAACCTTTGATGAAGTTAGCGGAGAATCCAGCTTTTTCCACTGATCCATCAGAAAAAAACTTGACTAACATTTTATTCTTTGTTGAACGAACATCCTCTGGGATCTTATAACCACAGAATTTCCCCAGAAGAGGGCTAATAACGTCATGACCATCTCTGATTTCCACGTAATCATACACACAGTTGTCATGGTTTTCAATCTAATCAGAAATAATTTCCTTTTAATTGAAGTATTAGAATAATTGTCGGATGTAATATTTAGTAATATTTTTCACGTATACCTATAAATGCACTCTCCAATGAAATACAAGTATACAATTAATAAAAACGATGCGAAATATCCTACCTCAAAGGACTGGAACTGAAGTGCCACCTGGTAGGTTTCTGGTACACTAATCTTCCATATACACTCCTTGTTAGGTCTGTAATCTTCTGGGTAATTTGGACTTTGCAAAACTCCCTCTTCCATAATGACGTCGCCACCACATATTGCTGAAGTTATATGCAAATTTTAAGCGACTACGCTTCCTTAATTATTACTATTATTGCTATTATATATGTAATCTAAGTATTTATACAGCTAGTAACTGTATACTTGTAAAGACAAGGCCATGTTTTAAAAATGCAACATTTTGCACGAGTTGCTGGTAGTTAAACTTCACTATAGCACTTCAGTTGCATATACTATTAACAAAGAATAGTCTATCACATCATAGTGTCAGTTTCATTCTACTTACCTTCGTACTGTGCCGTGAAGCCTTTATGCTCTTTATGATTGCTTGACGTTTTGAAAGTAACTAACATGCGATAGCCAGTTGTCATAATTTTATCTGGAGCCTGTCCACTGCCACAGAATCTACCTAAAATTTATATGTTAAAAAAAATCAATTTGCTCTCACCAAAATCTAAATTAGTTTACTTGAACCACAATGTACAGACACCTATAATTACCTGTTCGACTTTTACATCATTAAGAACGTAAAACACGAAAAATCCTACGCGAATTACAGTAAACAACGTACAAATGAATTTGAACAACGGTCCCTTAGTGTACACTAAATGGAAACCTAATGCTTTTAGTTGGAAGTCTTATCTTCACTGACGGGCTATTATACTTAAGGTCTATAAAAACTTTAATGGAGATTTTCGCACGAGACAATGGTCTCATTCAGTGTCATGTAATGTGCACTTTGGTTAATGAAATCCTGCTAGCAATAAACAAATCTTAGTTCCTATAATCTCATTTGGGATTTACTTTTGTAGTTTTTTTTTTGTCCTAACAGAAGTTTTGGTAAGGAAGCAATCTAAAACTTACAATGATGTGTACTATGTTTCTCATATTTGAGAATTTATTCGCGGTTAGGTCAACCCACCTTGTTTTAATGTGGAAAACAAGGGCCATGAATGACTTCCAAAATTAACGTTTTATATGCTTCCCATTTAAAGTTGCATTTTACTAGTCATAATTCACCACTACCTTACAAAAACAACGAAATAACTAATCTAATAACTAATGCGTTGCAGCTGGTAGCTTGATGTAAAAGACCGGCAAATGAATACTCAGCATTACTTTAATAAGATGATCTTAAAGTTCAGTTCAAACTATACTCTCCAGAAAAAAAAAAGTTCTCGGGACGTCGGAAGCTTCAGTTCAGTAACCTAGTAACCAGAGATATGGCCAGTAACATTGTTTGGTCAGTTTTCGTGTCAGCTGTATCCAATCACATGGCATCACCCGGGAAACCGTTACAAACAGGTCGTAGACCTATAGTCATTGATCACAATAGTGTTGATGAGACTTAGACTATTGTATTGCCTTCAACAAAAGCAATGATCAATCGGTCGATCCTAATTTCTTGATGCACACGCACGAGGCCCGAGCTGCTTGGTAACGATCTAATTAAACCATCTCCTGGCCACAGGGAAACTTACGGCTTTATTTACCTCCCCTCCCCCTCAGTTACGATGTTCCTGTGGTCACCGCTCTATGCTTTAGAAAAGAAACGTTTCTATGGAAAGTACTGAAGATGGAGACGACCTATTGACCGAATAGTTCAGGTTCTAGTTTGAGAACAAAGCAAATGAGTTACCATTTTGTTACGTAATTCGCACGATGACTACGCCTTTAAGAAATTTAACGCGAAAAATAGCAATATGAAAATTTCCAGTGTTTTTCATGAGTATGGGTACACAAACATACACAAAGCATGCTTTTCTTTCCAGCTGCGTGGCTATTTCGTGTTCTCGTAACTTGGTGGTTAACAGTTACAAGATTTCGGTGAAAAAAAAATGGTATAAAGCTTGGAAGCTACAGTATAAAGCTACAATTATGGAAGAATACTGTTGTATTAAGTACGAAGAGTAACGTAACGAGTTATGCATAAATTATATTGTACCAGGAAAACAAACATTCAGCTCATTTAATGTAATAAGCTATACGGATTTCACCAATCGAGAAACTATCCAGACTAAGAAATTCAGTTTGAAATGAAGTTGTAGGTCAAGACCTAAGGTCATGGAATTTTTAGGGCTTGTTGGATAATTCAAAAAAATGCGATAGGGAATTCAAATGAAAATGTGCATTTTAACTCCTTATTCTGAAACAGTTTTATTTGCAATATTTTAACTTTTTCTACACTTTAACCTTCAAATAATTCAACTTTGATAGTTATTGGGAGAGGGGAGAAGAGAAGTTCAATAAGCTCAACCCATTTGAGCTGCACACAGTTATGGCTCGTATTAACATGAATCAAATTTGTAACAGAATTTCACTTATTTTAAGTTAAAAAAATTGTCGCTGATCAACGTTTTCATGACGTTAACAATTAGTTTACACTCTTATCCTTAACTGATGGACATTTAAATCTGTTAGCTCTTTCGAGTACATAATTGAGAAACTGATCTCATTTTCCAGCTTGCTTTGATCGGAAGTGGGCGTCAAATTAAGTTATTCCTAAACTCCCCTTGCTTACATCAGTACCGGGGTAAATACATCTCGTGTGAAGCCTTTCCTTTAAATACAGGACTTTATAGAATCTTATCGACTCATACATAAAGAAAAAACTAATATCAACTGCCAAGGACGTGTTACCGGGTCGTGTACGTTACTGATAAAGTTTACATCTAGGGCGTACGTTTAATAAACAAGAAATGGAAGTTGATAGTGATAAAGTAGTAAGTAGGTTTTGACAGAACAAGATATTGATAGGGGGCGGATATAGCAACACTAACTCGTACTGCACCTTTACACTTCATTAGCTGTTACTTCTTAGGGGTATTTATGATGATCAAGATACAAAATAGTCTTGTTACATAATTTGAACAACCAGATAGAGATCCGACATGTAAATTCTGAATGTAAAAATATAAATTTTCAAACTTATGACGTCTAAATATTATTTCCCCTCAAAGTTACAAGTTTTTGAATGCAACATTTATCAATATCCTAGCAACAGACAGGTTTAGGAGTTATGTTCGTTGGTAGAAAAGTTCGGTCTCGGAAGAAAGCCTCGAAATCGGGAACTATTGTGAATTTAATCCCCAATTTTAAAGGGAAAACACTGATCTTACCTATAAATAGCATTTTAGTCCTTAACAGTAAATCTTAATATCAAAAGTAACTCTTGCTAGATTACTTTAAATATTGCTATGCTACATAAAATATTGTAGTATAATATCAATCATAGGTAGCGTTGTATTCTACAGACAGTCATAGGTAGCGTTGTATTCTACACATACTTTCTAGTAATACGGTTGCTTAAAGCATTCCAAGTAGAAAACAAAAGTCTGAAGGCTCTAAAACGGGAACTTAAAGCATAGAGTAAACGAGACGATAATATTACAATAAGAATGTTTTGAAAAACTTTACCTAGAAGTGGGGATTTGTACCAATACCCGTCTCTTACTTCTAAATAATCAGTTTCACAGTCTTCACTTTCAAAAATATCCAAATCAAGTATTTTGAGTACAATTTTCTCCCCATGAGTGGCTGTAACCCTCCATTCGCATTCCTCCCCCTCTGGTGGTGGGGGAAAGTCGATGTATTTTGGTGAAGATATAGAACCGTTGGGATGTTGCAAGGTATTTCCACAAACTGTACAGAGATTAGAAGATTATATACATACATATACACACGTGTTCGACATAACGTCATCTAATGCATATCTCGTTTTACACAAAATGGTTATTCATGAATGAAGTTTTTTTAGGAGACAGTTATATTGCATGTGACGTGGGTATAATTATATACAAGTCTGATAACAAATAGTTTTGAAGACCGACTTCTTCCATTGTCATACTTACTTGGACACTTGTACAACATATTAGTTTGGGCGATATCTCCTCTACTTAAGCGGAGTCTCTGACCAATTTCTGGCCTTTGGTTACTCATTCTATCTTCCTTCGGCAATATTGTATCCAGATTTGTGCTTTTAGAGAAGGTATTTCTGGCGTAGTGCATGATACTGTTGTAATCGTACGGCAATCCCAAGGAGTTAACCTCTTCGCCAGAAAGCTTGTCGAAGTTGTACTGCTGACCTGTAAGTTTACCCGTAAAATAAAGATAGGAACTTTAGCTTTAATGTCAGAAGTACACATCTTTTACAATTTATAACAATAGAAAACATTAATTGTGGTTCTCGGAATACCAGACTTGCATGTTTCTAAAAACAGTTGATTGAAATCTAAAGAAGAATGTGATAATATATGAACCTCATATCTGCCACATCCAGTGACGAAGAGGCTTTTTTGTCCAATACGAAAGCTCATCAAGCGACCTGGAATACGACTTAATCTAGTTCATACCACGTAAATGATATAAATAACACATGAACCAATACTAAGCGAAGTATTATCAACAATTATGTCATTTACAAGTAAATATTAGGGTAAGGATGAATAAACACGTTTTTAATATCATTTATTATTTTAAACATAATAAAACAGTTAAAGGAAAAACAAATATAATGCATAAAATATGTGGCCGTAAAGGCATGTACACTTGTATCATTTACCATTTAACAATGTTGCTTATGTTTAGGTGATGCCCAAGTCTTAAAGTATAAACTTTAGTTTCGGCAATTATTCATAGTGGCAGTTTGTGGGCAGTGTAGGCAACCCCATTATCGATACTCTATATATTTAAGTTGATTTGAAGAACGATAGTATAGGAGTTAAATTTTATCCCAAGTGAAAGTTCTGGAAGAACCTTGGTTTGGCTTTTAGGCTTTGGAACCAGACTGTTTTAGTCAGATGGGTCGTCAGTGGATTTAACTTGTTAAAGCAGCTTATGTACCAAACGAAGGGGAGCAACGTTGAGAAATAATGTTCATTATTATACCTAATAAACACAATGAAACTAAAGATTTAAGCTGTCTACAGTTTGTTTTAGGGAAATCTACAAAAAGAACTATGCTAAACTGTCCCATGAAGAACGACTTAACTAAGGGAAATGTTAAAACACGACGACTGAGTCGAAATGTATTGAAGTGTTTTACACTCACAAAAAAAGAAACCTATCATTTTATAGGTATTTGAAGAACTTGTAGCATTCTGCCACAATTTAATTCTTCGTATTGTTAGCCGACACTGGGCAGCTGGTACATAATTGGTGTTAAACAGATGTTTAAATAATTCAACAACGACTGGGCGTTATAAAGATTCAACTAATTTTGCTATTGGCCCTTTTTTATTATTATTAAATCAGCTCAGTTATGAATGTAACGTACCTCAATGTAACCGAACTAAGAAATGAATTCTACCGAGAAAATCCAGAAACGCTGAGAAATTATACCGAAAACATTTGTTGAATGTGCAAGATTAATATCGATGAAAATTGTTGAATCGAGCTTCCACAAAGCTAACGGGCACCATACTTATCCGGTGATTTAGGTTTTTCTTACATGAACAGCTTTAGAAAAGAAAAATCGGAAGAGACGATGTGTAACATACCGATCTTCGAATCTTCTACACGCTTTAAAACAATAGAATTACGCGGTCGTTGACTTTTCTTGGACGTATAAACAAAAAGTAGCCATGCTTATGCATGGTAAGGCCTATGTATAGTTTTCCTCAGGACTACGTATTTTCAGTTTCTAACATACTTTATCGTTTTAATAAACCACATGCATTATCACTAGTATCCCGGCATAAGAATTAAACATCTGCTTTTGTCACGCTTTATCTTACACGGGTTTAACTCCCGGCATAGTATACCTTGTTAAGTTTCACATTACCGAAATCTTATTACAGTTGCAAATTTGTCAATAGCGCTAAAGCTTACTGTTCTGGTTCGAGAATAACCCGAACCGTAAGATTCTTGTGAGGGTTGTTCGGCTAAATTCTCCACTTGTCAAACAGAGTATTCCATTATGATTCTCTAAAAATTTAATAGGAGATTTAGGTTGTAGTAAATTAATTTTTGAATTATTTTTTTTGTACCCTAAGGAAGTCTTTTGTTCGAGTCCTTGACGTCAATGCAGCTATGCACCCCTTTAAGGTATAATTACATCTTTTTCATCCTTGACGTACACGTATTTGAAACGAAGTTTTCAAACAATAGTAATTGTTGCTATACTGACCACAAAAATTTTTCTTCAGAATCTCCAAGTTGCCCGTTTGCAAGTAGTGGTGCTGGAATACGTGCATCATTCCTTAGATACGATTACATTTCTTGGTCACATACACAAAAACTTGTTTTGTACTTAAGTTAATTAACGTCTTTAACTTTGTCCATAGAAATATGCTCAAATTACTAGTACATGTTCCGCAATGAGCAAGTGCGGAAAAACATCGAACTGTCTTACCTTCTGTCCAGCTTCTTACACGATTAAACAAAATAGAAACCACAGGCCCAGAACTTCTCATTTTCCAAACATCACTTTTTAAACTTAACATTTTAAACGTTAAAGCCGATATTAGATATGAAGATTGTGCTTCATATGGGAAATTAATTTCGGGTTTAAATTAAAACTTACCGTAAAATGGAAGGAATGGAAAGAAGAGTTTAAAAAAATTAAAGTTGTTGGTTGTAATACGCTAACCTCACTATTACTGCGAACTAGTCCCTAGAACTTATACAACTTAAGATACATGCATTTTCTCTAAAAGTTTTACCATTCATGATGTTTTCTGTAATAATTACGACATGCTGGTCCCTGTCAGGTCTCGTGTGCTCGTGCCAAAACCCTACTACGTGGCCAAGCTCGTGCACTATTATTCCAAACTTGTCGCAGTTTTTTCCAATAGAGATAGCTTGTGGTCCATTGCCTCGCTTCCCAACAAAGGAACAACACCTAGAAATAAAGATAAAACTGAAATTTTAACTGTACAAGATGACAAAAGCCCCTTTCCCCATAATGGACCGTTTTAAGAGTGGACCAACGTTTTTTATTTTTAATTAAATGGGAAGGGTATACCAGACAAATATAGCACTTAAAAACTCAAATGGTCACTTTATGCTGCAGGAAGAAAGTATGAAGTTTTGTAGAAACCAAACTAGAAGTTATCTTCAGTTTTGAAGGAATATTACGAGACGTTTAGTTTTAATCGTAAACAATGAAGTTAAAGTAGCAACATTTGATATTTTGCATTACCATGATCTTTATCTCGATCATTTTTTCCGGTTAACAAACTTATGTCATTACTGAAACAAAGTTAATTTTTTTTTTTAATATAGAAGATAATCATTTTGACAGCTCCAATACATTCCCCCGCCCACTCCAATATAATAACCTAGTATTTCTGGCATATTTCAGTGATAAATTCTAGTTACTCACCCACATGGTCTCTCGGTAAAGACAATGTAATTCGGGTGTTCAGAAGTTTTTTCTACAAATTTTATACAAGTGTAGTTTTCCCAGTGGCGCATGGCTTGTTTGAATAGAGCTCTGTGATCACCTGTAAACAAATCAAGTCTATAATTAGTCTACGAGACAGAGTATCATAAAAGTAAGTGCCAAAAAAAGACAGACTCCACCTACCTCAGCTAAGCATAACCACCAGGTATCAGCACTAATGTTTATCACAAGAGCGAAAAGATACCAACATTTTTTTAAACTTCAGAAAGATACAGTTAGTCATTCTATACACGTGGACAGATTTTATTGAAAACCACAAGTATATGGGTTTTGAGTAAATCGGCAAATAATTTGAGGATAGACAACGATTTACGCTGCAGGATTCCTTACGTTTTATAATCTTCAAATACTTAAGTATTATCTAACAAAATGAAAAAGTATACGACATTAACATGCATTCTGCACAATGCCACCCATTTCTATTTTCCATGTACGCCAACATAGTTTTTTCGCATGTCACCACCCTCTTTCCATGAAATTGTATCATTTTACAATTAGTATCCGTTTTTAAACAATTTGTACAGCTTAAAATGAAAGACCAAATCTTGCTAGTGACAAATTACTTACCACTAAAGTTGGACTCTATTTCATAAGGAATTACAGCATAATCCCACAATCGCTCTGGACGAGCAGTTGCTGCTCTTTCGGATCGACGACGGGATCCTAGATTCCTTCGGCACTGTCGAGTTCGCAAGAATCGGCGCCTATTTTTTCGACGTCTGTGGGAAAGGATTAATACAATTTTATTCTAATTTCAGGATGTTTAGGAATTAGGGCCAAAGGAAACATATAGAATTTAAAAAAAAAATCTAGTACATAGTAAGCCAATTTAACGTTTCGAGAACGGAAAAGCTTATTATCCGAAATAAAAATATTAATTGTTAATATTCTGGGTTCATAAAATTTGATGACCAGAACTGGAAACCTTTCCAGTCAAGCTCTTGGTGTAAATAAAAGAAATACATTACTTAAAAAGGTTAAGTTAATACTCTCGTTTATGAAGATTGTTTTGAGATTGGCGACATCTGATAACAGGTCGAGTATCTTTTTTTGCACTTCCAGTTTGCTATCCTGATCTCCAAGTCTGTAGAGCCTAGTTGATATTCTGAGTAACAAAGATCATGCTGCTAACAACTGTGAATGTTGAAAACAGAAATCCGACGATTCTAAGCTAGAAAATATTTACAATTATAGGGTTAAGAGTTATGAACAATTTCGATTGATTTGAATTTACATCTATTTTGATGTTGTGCAATTATAGAAATTCGATATTTTCCTCCAGGTGGCGCAACTTTGAACCTCAAGAAAGAGAGCTTACACACGATATGGTACTTAAAGTATTAAAAATACCGCTATACGCGCGAAACAAATTACTGAAAATCTTAAGACAGTGGAATATTGTCAGCTCAGTTTTTCGTTCAGTGGAAACTTTAAATACTCTAATCTCACCCTCCTGTTTAAGTTATTTTAAGTGGAGCATTCTTTAATGTTAGTAACTGACGATCCCAAACTAGAAACTCAGGAAAAGCAATGAAATAACTTGTGTAAAGAAAGTGCTAAATAGTACGACAAATTTATGTTTAGGCCCAGTGAAAAAACAAATTAGTTCTCGGTCAGTAGCTAAAATCTTTCGGGTGTATAGGCCCAAGTTACAAGGTAACTTTAAGGTCACCCAGTGCTAGAAAGTAGTGCTCATTCACGGAAACCTCAGTGAGGGCAAGTTATTTATACTTTTATCACTTAACAGTTGCAAAAGATTTACGTGATAACGAATAAGTTAACTTCACGTGGCCTTAGGAATAAAGATCTTTCCAGCATGGACGCAATGTTCATTGAGAAATCAACTTGATGCAACCATGGAAAGTGTCAAAAACACAAAAGCGATAGTTTTTTTTTCTTTTAGGAGAAAATTAAAGCATAAGTACTGAATCTAGTATTGATACCTAAAGTTCTTTGAGTTTAACGAATCTGGTGAAAATACGTGAAAATTTAGTTTTGTAACATGCTTAGATAATGAGCTTTCTTGTTCCATAATGTGAAGATGCTTGTGCGTGTAGTTTTAGTTTAAAATTCATCATATACATACATGCATAAAATTAGACTATCATGAGGTACATGAAACTGAAGATATTTTCTAACGGTTTAAACACTATAGGGATTTCTATTTATTATGTATTGAGCCTAGCAACTTCGGTTCAGCAGATTATAAATGCTTGATATTTATAAAAACAAAAACTCAAACTACACAAGGTGCTAAAGTCAATCTTTTTAAAAATCAATATTCTGTTTAAAAACTGAAAACGGGGATTATTACAATCGGTTTAGCATTGAAAAAACTACCAAACTAACGATCTGTAACTAAACAGCACGTATTTACCAGATCTGGCTTCTTCATGAGATGTATAAGGCTTCAATGTTTCGTGGCCTTATGGCGTTCAATTCCCTATCGAGATTTGTATAAATATTTGGTGCATGGCTTGCTGTTTTAGTGTAGAGTATTTTCATATTTCAAATCTCTTCGGCCTATGTGTACAGTAAAGTGCCGTGAAACATTCATGTTGTACATTACAAGATTGTTATCCAACGAGAACAGTATTTAATATTGCACAAGTTTGAAGTAAACAAGAGGAATTAGGTTTCGCAACTCAATCATCATCCTTCAGCGACAAACTCCAAAAACTTGATGTGCTTACTAAAGAGGATTCATTTTGATGAATTTAAGTAATATTTACAAAAATAAACATGAAAAGGTGATTCGATGAATGAATGGTTATGTAAGAAACAGCTGTTAAATTAAATAAAAATTAAGTTTAGTATATACCAAATTAGTTGCTGAAAGTAGGTAAGAGTAGATTTTTAGATCGGTAACGTAAAACGACATAAATAGCAAGATTTTACTTTTAGTTGAGTCATATGTAACAATTAGAATCTGGGAATAGAAGTATAAAGATAGACGTACGATCTACATAGAGCAGTTTGGACAACGTCATTAACCAATGTTGTATAGAATATCCACTGTTCTTACGGTTTTATTTAAGGAAAGTAACTTTATAGCAACAGTTAGGCAAAATCAAAAGTTCAAATCATGGTGAGATTTTATTTATAGTTTGCATTTACACGCTGTGTTTTAGGATGTTAATAAACTAGTGAATTTTGGTGATCCAAATAACAAGCCCATAGAAACAAGAGTAATCAGAAGGAATTAGAGTATTTCTATAGCAATTTGTTTTACACCTATTAGCTGAAACCACAAGAAACGTTTTAATTGGATAAAAATTAATATTTAAGCAGAATATTCGATTTTATTTATCTTAATTAAAAAGAAAAAAAGCGAGTCAACCGATACTCTTCCTGGCGTTGATATCCATTAATGAAGAAAAAGATAAAAAGCTTTTAGACTAATGGTAAATGTGCCCATCTAATCAGCTCTTCTGTTGTAAGCTAGGGAATGGAACTAATCAATAGAGCTTTATCACTACTGACAGTCTGCGTCTACCTTCAGGAAGTATAAATTTCCTGCTCCACCCGACGTACTACTCGCTATGACAGTTGCCTCATTATTAAGTACTGAATGGAATGTATGGATACCTAGTAAATCAATTGCATTGGGTTAGCATTATAAAGACGTCTAAGATGAAACACGTATTTCATAGCAATTGCCTCCCCCCCCACACACACAGATCAACTGCACTGGGTTAGCATTATCAAGTTGTCTAAGAGGAAACACGGATTTCATAGCAATTGCCCCCCCCCCCCACAGAACAGTTGTAAGATGCTAGTATTGCATTCTTATTACACCATTTGTAGATGTGCAATATTTTGAGGAAAGTCAGATGAAACATCTCATCTATAACGGATGAATGTCAGTTTAGTCCATTATAACGAAAAATGAAATCCTGAACACACACAAGACACAAGTTGATAAATCTTCAGTTTCCTGCTTTTGGTGATATCCATAATTTTACATTAATAAATTTATGACTAATTTTACTATAATCAAGATAAGTCCAGGTTAAAATTAAATTTCAATACCTTTTGAGACTATCATTTCGTTCACGACGACCACGAGAAATACTATGTCTTCGCAGGGTTCGACAGGGTTCTCGAAAAGATGGAAGACCTGTGGACTGCGAAGTCTCCAAGTCATGTAGGGCGACACCAACTCCCCCTTGGCCATGGACGTCTTTACCGTTATTTTCTTCTTTTTGCTGCCGTACAAGTTCCTGGTCATAAACTTCGTTCTCAAGCCTACCGAGTGCTATATCTGCCACAAACTCGTCTGATAAAAACAAATGAAGTTTTGAACCTAAAAACTATACCTGTTCCGTAAATCTAATTAGTTCAATAAGACGACAAAAGCTGCTTTTCATAAAAGTTTAGTGTACAGTAAAGCAAGTGAAAATAATCAGTTGATTAAGGATATTATACCTATGGCTAACATAATAACTATTTAATGACGAAGACTAACTGCTAGTACTTATAACACGAAATCAATTGTTTTTTAGATTAATTAAGTAGGATTTGAATTCAGTTGATTTTTTTTGCACTATTCTTTTGCCTAATCTCATAAGACTTTCAGACATCACCTGAAGAAGGATTTAGGCTAGAAACATTATCATAAAGTTAAATTACTTGCACCGTCATGAAAACTAAATTCAGATTCTCTTCTCTCTAGACTGTCGTAAAGCCAATGTAGTTCAAGTTTAAAATAAATTATGAAAGCATCGTAGTGTTGATTTGAGAATGTGTATATACATTGGAGTGGTTGCATAGGTAGACGCTGTCATATAGAAAAAGTGGTGAAAGCTACCATGTACATAAAATGCAAAATATTAAATTTTGATCCAAATCGTTTAAGATCAACAGGCAAGTTACATTTTCAAACATTTTAGTTAATGGTAGGAATTCCACAAAAC